GCAGAGCGTTCAGTACTATTGTTTTTTATGGGGTCCAGACGGTATTCGTTTCGTTTTTATTTTTACACGTCTTTTATTTTGTTTTATTATTGTTACTTTTCGTTTTTATTTTTATTTTTTTATTTTTATTTTTTGTTTTCTGTTTCTGAACTATGACAAATTGGTTCCAAAACGTATGCATAATCGATTTTCGGACACCCGTGTCTCGTCGTAGGCCTACGAACAGCTCGCACACGTGTATTTATATTATATACCTATACGCCGCTTCGCACATCAACGATCGTACGTAATTGATAACGGAGACCGAGATCTTAACGCAACGTGAAATTAAATCAGTTCAACACTTATCGCAGTCGTACACACCCGTGATTTAAGAAAAATATGCGTCACGAAGGGGTGACGATGATACCTCGTGCGGTTCTTCACAATAAGAGTTATTCCATTTAGTATACTTACACGTATTACATAATATAATAGATACACACACACACACACACACACACACACACACATATATATTTGTGTGTATTGTGCGACTTAATACGTACAAGGTACAGTACAATAAAATCTAAAATAAATCGTATATCGGCAACATTTTATCGTGTTCCGAGAACACGGCAGTATAATAATAATAATTTAGATATAATGGAGGTCAGGGTCATTTTTGCGCTCTCTGCAGAATCGCTGGTTCAGTTCGCTGCAGACAGGTTCTTTTTTTTTTTTTAAAAATTTTTTTTCGCCGACAAATCGCAATCGGATGTATATATGTATACGCACAATACTATAGGTAAGCGCGTTGTATGTGCATACAAGGCTTGCGTTTATGTACACGTACAATAATTCTTACCGTAATAGATTGTGTTATTAGCATCGCGATTTACGAGTAACTATATTATTGCGAAGGCTGCGCGAAAAATGATATATGTTGACGATGACGATGATGATGATCACGGTAATATTGCTTTTGAGCGACACTCGTTTAGGTGTAAGATATATACGACCCATATATACCGTGGAGTAACAAATAAACATGATTTGCATCTCGGCCCCCACTCCATAATCATTCCCGCAACATGTAATACACTTAATAAAATGTAGTACGTAATGGTTTTACGGTGTACCCGTACGGGTAATAACGATTTATGTCAACGCTGTTATAATCAGCGGTCGCATAAAAAAATATATATATTACACATATTTCAACCAATATCCTATAACACAGTAGACATCCAAGTAATCAAAAAATACCAATACCGTTTTGTTTTATTTGCAAACAATACAGTGTGTGTATGTGTGCGTGTGTGTATTGTGCTATGTGCGTGTACATAAAACGCGTGAATCCTAACGTGTTAATTGTGCAAAAAAAAAAAATTATTTGTCTTTTAGATTACGTTGAGTTAGTGATACACTCAAGATGTAACCAAGTCGCGCTGTAGGCAATGCATAATGTTTGACTGGTAACATCAGTACACTACCGTTTAGTCCTACACTACTATTAAATTATAACCGAATGATTCGTTTGGATTTTTTATTTATTTTTAAATTTAAATAAAAATCACTACAATTATTCGAGTAGATATCGGCACTTGTTTGAACGTCGTCACATATTGTGAACGTGATTATTTCGTGTTAGGTCGACACAGTGTCTGACAAACGTAAACTTAACAAAGAATCGTTTCGTATTAAAACCAATTCAAAGAAAACAACAGTATCATTGACCTACCTTAACCTTCCTGCAGACTGATCAGGTGCGTCAGCATAAAGACCGCGCAGCACCACACACCCATTGGTGTCAACCAGAAAACGAAGTTTATGCGTATAAAAAATATATGAACGGCGTACTCTAACGGTGTACACTATACGACATAAACACATCCATTACCTGTCCGTTTAATAATATTCGACTCGACGGTCCGTCAAGTTTCGTTTAACATTTACAGTCGTCAATCAACATAATAATAAATAGTTTAAGTACACAAACAGTTGTATAGTGCTGAGTAATAGTACCTGTTCAATTCACATTGTTTACGTAAAATAACGTTTTTCCGTTAATTTAAAATTAATTTTTGTTTATTTCACCATAGATCTTACGATAACCATGTGCTATGAGTGTTGTCAATTATTGTAAACCATTAAAAAATCGATGTTTTTACAATTTATTTATTAGTTAACGTCAAAAATTTTAACCGTAAAATTACGCAGATTTCACAATAACATCATACATTCTTACATCTAGCCTTTACCGAACTTTTTCACCGCTCATTCATTTCGTTGGCAACGACCAGTAATGTTTTTTAGTTATTTATCCACAGATAAGTGTAATAAACAGTTTTCGAACAACTTCGATCATCTACATATAGGGTTGCTTTTATTCGTACACACGGTTATGGTTTAGTATGTAAAAAACCGATGGATTTTTACATGGAATGCATAAGAAATTATTTAGGGTTAAAATAAAGCGCATTTACTTGTACACGTGTCTTTTGGAATACATGCTTGTGCGTTTTGAAGTGTATTATACGACGTATTATAGAGGCTATCGCACGACGGCGGCGGTGGTCTTGAAATGCAATTAAACGTACAAATATTTTTTCAACACTATTTACCCTGCGACTGGAGTGCGTGGATTATTTTTAACACGATCAAAGAGAGCTTTGGCCTTTTATCATCGTGGGTGTGCCGTGCCGCTGCCTTGGCGGTGGTGTACGCGAACGAAGTTGGTAAAGGGTAGCTGTGGAGTTTTTACCGCCCATTGGCAATTGAATTCAATTACATTTCGCAAATCCCGCGTAAGCACTCGTGTCGTGCAGTAGTAGTAGCAGAGCAGCAGTAGGAGATCGAGAGGGAAGCGCGTATGTACACGACGAGGAGTGCAGTGTTTTTCTAGTACACGCCGGTCCCTCTGTGTATATATGCGTACACGCGCAATGAGCACTACACATCCCTCCGCTAGCCGAATCCATTCACACACAAACACACTCGCACATGCCCGCGTTATAATAGTGATCTTTTGGACGTGTGCCGGAATTATTTCGATCTTCATGTCGTGAATATTTGTTTTCGCTGAAATATTAGTACGACGACAAAATCCCTTCGAAACTTTACGTTTTTTCCTCTCCTCCTATGTTCGACAAATAATGCGCTCGTTCCGGACTGAAGAGCGAAATCGTATAAATACAGTTTATTCGAAATCCTCCTACATCCTCGAAAATACTGTTTTATTTCCCAGTCGTTTATCTATTATTATTATTATTATAAATTTCAAGGTCTCTCGTAGTTTTGTTAAATATTATTTTGTAAACCAGCCTAGTGTATAATAATAATAATAATAATAATAATAATAATAATAATATATATTTGTTGTCGTATATAGTCCTGCTTTCGGTTTAAAGATATTATTGTGCAGTGAAATAGTTTTGTTGTTGTGGCATGTACAAGGACACGAATTTATAAATGCGAGTGTGTGTGTTTTTTTCCCCTATATAGTTTACCCTCGTCCTTAAATTATTAATATTTTCGTTGTGTACTCGATCGAATAATCGCATCGATGTATAAATTAATTTCGTACGACGGATATACTTGTATTACTGCCAAGTGCATGATCGAGAAAATACGGTAAACGGCCGTTATTGATATGAGCTTGTAAAAAATATTAATAACTATTAATCACTATTAATGTCGGTAACGAATAAACGCATAAAACAAACACACTGCAATTGTATTGTAATTATTATATTTTACGCTAGGAGCTCGATCGAAACGTACATTTTCATTCCGATATACTGTACCCGCCGCCCACTGCATAACGCGTTGATTACTAATTTTTTATTACAAACACCGGGAGATCGGCGTGTTAAATGCACAACGAATGCGGTGTCCGCTTTGCAATTAGCAGGGTCGAATGTCAGCGACGTAAACAAGGATTCATAATAATTATACGTGTTTTAACGGTGTTAGATACGTGCAACGGACACTCGCACATTCGTCTCGTGCTGTCACTTTGACCAATGTAAAACGTAATAAATACATGTTTCCCTTTATTCGTGCACACAAACGTGTAACACTCGGAAAAGACGATTCGTGTTATTGAACGACAGTTTTCGGCCGTTAAAAATTCGATGTAAAATGTTATTCCACCGTTCGTTCCCGTCATTATACAGTTATGTTATAACGCACGTGTGATAATATAATATGTTTGAAAAATAATAATATTCGCTCTTTCGAGAATTTTTTTTCCATTTCCCGTATTCGAGCATATACACATATATATATATATATATATATATATATATATATATATATATATAT